AGCTCCCTAGTAACCGAGGAGTCGGAAACTGACTTCAAAATTTTCTCTCCACCCCCTCCGTTACTAGGGAGCTCTGGAATGTAATCTATTGTCTTTCACGTGATATTTTCACATGATTTATTGTATGTAAAATGACACCTCGTGATTCGCGCGACACGTTCTATTGTTTGTAAGTAGTACCTCGTGATTATCATGTGATACCTCATGTATTAAAAAACCCATGCGCTTGCGAAATAGCTTCATAACCAACAGTGAGTAATATGGAGAGTGAGAATATGCAATTCGATGATACCGATCTAGTCTTTGGACAACCAACAATACAAGTTTCACTTCAAAAACCTGTGGAACCAATAACAGACTTTCTTCAAAAGATCATACAGAAAGATTCAATTCCTAAAGAAGAACTTAGGAAAAGGTGGATTAACATAAAATCTGAGCGAGAAAAGATGTTGAAACAGTGGAACAAATCGAGGGAACAAGTCGCCTATTGGATATCAAAGACCAAGGAATTGGAATACCATCTTAACAGAAGCGCTGAAGAACTTGAACGACTGCGTGGTAGAATGGTTGCAGATTGCCTGGAGTGAAGATTAGAAGAGAAGATTACGAGAGTTTACTTCGTAACGTGACTCGCGTTACGAAACGATAGACTGTTGCTATCACATATTACTCATTATTGGTTATCCTTCTCCTCATGGAGTCGTAAACGTCCGCTTTTTCATAAGCTAGGCGTTCTGATGAGGCTTGATATTAGCCGAAACGACTCACGTCTCACGACTCACGTTTTTTTTTATGTAAAATAGTGCTTCGTGATTTGCGCGACACGTTGCAAACGTTACACGTTTTTCACCGGGAAAAAAATATTGTCTACTAGTAGACAACTACTATCAAGACATGAATGTTGAAGCGTTTAAAAGAAACATTGATCTCAAACTTGAAAATAATCGCAAGAGGTTGGAAATCAAAAAAAGAGTGCAAGATTATAATGATGCCAAGCAAGGTCTTGAACTCGAACGTGAAGAAGTATTCCAACCGATTGTGAAAGAGGTCAAGCAGGTCAAAGAGACAATAGATGATAAGCAAGACACAATTCTCCAGCAATTGCAGGAGAATCAAAAAGCTCTCACTCACGATCTTTCGTTTCTCAAAGAGCTTGAAAGCTTCGAAAGCCCACCCGATTCTCCTACCGCTCTCGAGCCGCCACCTAAACCTAAACCAAAAGTACCCGATCCGCAAATCGGTTTTAGCCAAGACGACCTTGATTATATTCAAAAAAGCGGCTTTCCCACGCCTAAAAAAGTGTTCAAACAAATACTCGATAAGGATTTTGATCATGATAGACTGTACAATGATGTGGCTGATCGAATCGCAAGAGCAAATCATAAAAAGGCCGGTTATTCGAAGAATAAGGAAAAAAATAAGGATAAAATAGATGATATCATGCGCCAAGTCAACACATTGAAAAAATATATTGACCGCATAAATTTGCTCGCGGGTGGTGATAAGATTTTTGTCATGCAAGAGGGTAAGGGCCACAAGGGCCAGCGTAAGCGTAAGCGTAAATATGCTCAGAAGAAACGAAATGCTTACAAGGTTGATAGCAAAGGACAGTACGGTGGTCTCTTGATAAACCCCACGCGATTAATAAATGAAATGGTGGTCGAAGCGTGTGATCCTTCGACCGGCGCTGTTGTTTATGAAAGACAGGGTGACAAAGGGATCGTTGATCTGTTGACAAAGAGATGTAATCCCAAAGGACAGTATTCGTCAAAGGCGATTCAAATATTCAAAGATTTGAACAAACTCGCAAACATTCCGGTTCACAAATCGTCTGGAAAAGCGAAACTTCTCGAGAGAGTAATTGGAGGAGCTATTTT